GGGGATTGCGCGATAAACCTCCGGGTAGACGCTGTACCTCCCAGGAGTCATATATACCCCCTGTCACAGGCTGAAACGGTGGCTATGGAAACATATGTCACCGAGTCCCTGCGCCTTTACTTCACCCGTCTCCTCGAGTTTCTTCTTTGTGAAGAAGAAGGACGGAGGTCTGCGCCCGTGCATTGATTATCGACCACTGAACAGGGAGACGATAAGATTTAGTTATCCTCTCCCCCTCATTCATTCAGTGATTGAATCAATGCATGGGGCACGCTTCTTCACCAAATTAGATCTCAGGAGTGTGTACAACCTGGTGCGTATCTGAGAGGGAGATGAGTGGAAGACAGCATTCAGCACAACCACGGGGCATTATGAATACCTGTGGTTTGATGAATGCTCCCTCAGTTTTCCAGTCCTTTGTGAACGAGGTCTTTCGGGACATGCTTGGTCGCGGTGTAGTGGTCTGCATCGATGACATCCTGGTGTATTCCGTTACGCGCGCCGAGCATGTGTCCCTGGTCCACAAGGTGCTGGACCGACTGTTGGAAAATGACCTTTATGCTAAGGCAGAGAAGTGTATGTTTTTCCAGCAGTCCGTCTCCTTCCTTGGATACCGCATTTCCACCTCAGGTGTGGCGATGGAGGGAGATCGCATTTCAGCCGTGCGTAATTGGCCGACTCCAACCACGTTTAAGGAGGTGCAGCACTTCCTTGGCTTTGCCAACTACTATCGGAGGTTTATCCGGGGCTTTGGCAAGGTCGCAGCTCCCATTAACTCCCTGTTGAAGGGTGGGCCGTCCCGGCCCCGCTGGTCTGCTGAGGCTGACCTGGCCTTCAGCAAACTGCGGGGTCTGTTCACCTCAGCCCCAGTACTGGCCCACTCCGATTAATCTCTACCATTCGTAGTGGAGGTGGATGCGTCCGAGGTTGGGATAGGAGCTGTCCTGTCTCAACGCTCGGGTACGCCACCCAAGCTCCGCCCCTGTGCGTTCTTCTCGAAGAGGCTCAGCCTGGCAGAGCAGAACTACGACGTTGATGATCAGGAGCTGTTGGCTGTTGTCCGAGCCTTGACCGTGTGGAGGCATTGGCTCGAGGGGGCAAAACACCCTTTCCTCGTCTGGAAGGACCACCGTAATCCGGGCAGCGAGGAGGCTGAATCCTCGCCAGGCCAGGTGGGCCCTATTCTTCACCCGGTTTGATTTCACTCTATCATACATCCCGGGTACGAAGAACGTGAAGGCAGACGCACTGTCCCGGCTGTATGACACAGAGGAGAGGCCCAGCAACAATACCCCCATACGGCCGGCCTCCTGCATTGTGGCGCCGGTAGTATGGGCGATGGACGCGGATATAGAGCAGGCATTACGCACAGATCCCTCTCCACCTGGGCTACAGTACGTGCCTGCTCTTATCCGTGATCTTCTGATCTACTGGGCACACACGTCACCCTCCTCTGGTCACCCAGGTATCGGCCGTACAGTGCACTGCCTGACCGGAAAATACTGGTGGCCTACCTTGGCTAAGGACGTGAGGGTGTATGTGTCCTCCTGCTCAGTGTGCACCCAGAATAAGGCACCTAGGCACCTCCCAGCTGGTAAGTTACAACCTTTACCAGTTCCACAATGACCATGGTCTCACCTAAGTGTTGATTTTCTAACTGATCTTCCCCTCTCCCAAGGTAACACCACCATCCTGGTTGTTGTGGACCACTTTTCTAAAGCCTGCCACCTCCTTCCTCTGCCCGGTCTCCCCACGGCTCTGCAAACTGCAGAGGCCCTGTTTACACACGTCTTCCGGCACTACGGGGTACCAGAGGATATAGTGTCTGACCGAGGTCCCCAGTTCACGTCCAAGGTCTGGAAGGCGTTCATGGAACCTCTGGGGGTCTCAGTCAGCCTGACCTCTGGGTTCCACCCCGAGAGTAATGGGCAGGTAGAACGGGTAAATCAGGACGTGGGTAGGTTCCTGCGGTCCTACTGCCAGGACCGGCCGGGGGAGTGGTCGGTGTTCTTGCCATGGGCAGAATATGCCCAGAACTCTCTCTGCCACTCCTCCACTAACCTAACACCTTTCCAGTGTGTTCTAGGTTACCAACCGGTTCTGGCACCGTGGCACCAGAGCCAGACAGAGGCTCCTGCGGTGGATGACTGGTTTTGGCGCGCGGAGGAGACGTGGGATGCTGCCCACGTTCACCTCCAATGCGCCGTGCGTCGTCAGAAGGCCAATGCTGACCGCCACCGCAGTGAGGCCCCCGTCTTTGTACCGGTAGAAGAACCCTTTTGGGTTCCATGTAGAACCCTCTGTGAAAAGGGTTCTACATGGAACTGTGATGAGGTGGTGTTGGAGTCAGGCACAGGAGGGTAAATCACAGAATAACAGGCTTTAATCCGCAAAATATAGGTTTACGCAGAAATGCGTCAAACACACTCCAGTGCACAAAACAGGCGCACTGGAAAATACAAGGCACACGGGAAAATACTCCCGTCGATACAACATACACGAGCTCCACCGAGCTGCACTAACCTCCACAATAAACAATCACCCACACAGACAAGGAAGCAGAGGGAACACTTATACAATGACTAATGAGGGAATAAGGACCAGGTGTGTGTGATTGAAGACAAGACAAATGGAGTGATGATAAATGGATTGGCAGTAGCTAGTAAGCCGGTGACGCCGAACGCCGAAACCTGCCCGAACAAGGAGGGGAGGCAGCCTCGGCGGAAGTCGTGACACTCTGTCATTATATGGCCTTATTACGTGCCTCAATTTAGCTTAGTTGGTCAGATAGCTGTTAGCCTACACCACTGCAAGTTATGTTCGAAAATAGATGTGACGGGGGATGAAATTATGTTGCTCATTGTACTGAGTTACATCATGTACATAGACAGAGCTGTTGTAATTGCTAATGAGATCTGATATGTTGTGGGTAAAGTCGGCTTCTTGAGGGTGGGTTCAAAGAAAGTGCAACTGAATCATCACAGTGAGTGAAGGCAATAGAATCCATGACGAAGCACAGTCACAGCCTAATTCCATCACTGCAAACGTGTAACTCATAGAGCAGACAGAATACCAATGTTATGAACAGACATGAATCATTGAATGTTTGGCAGGATGCAGCAGACTTCTCATCAGCTCTTTATTTTTGTCTGTGTCATTTTGGTTTTGTGCTTCTGGAGTTCTGAGAGTTTGCTTGGGCTGGTATCAGAGGCTGTCCCTCACATGGATCAGTGTCTTAATGTTTGCCCACAGACACCCAGTGATTCCCAGTGGTGCAGTCAGACAGACAGTCAGGCCCAGGGGGTGAGGTGAAGCCTCTCCTCTGCTGTCTCTCCTCCCCTTCCCAGACGGCCCCAGGACAGGGCTGTCAGACTGGGGGAGACAGGGAGTTGCTGTGACAGGCCTGCCTCCTTTTGTCACTAGACAGAGGGCTCCACAGGACCCACAGGGAGGTTGGGGCTGACACAGCAGACTGGACTGGGGGGGGGGGGGGAGCTGTTGCCCTTTTCAGACAGACTTAAATCATTCTGCATACAAAGGAAAACCAGGAGCACCATTGGTATTATCATTATACCATTTGTCACTGTAATGTTAGAGAATTATGGGCCAAACAGAAGCAACATTGCTTTATGCGATTCCTTGTGCAAAAAATCCATCAATAAAGACATTGTCACAGTGACCATACTATCAAACACCCAGTTGGAGCTTGCAGGCCTGTGGTCGGAGGCCTAGTTCCTCTTCCCCTATTATTCTTTCTATCCTGATCCCTCTCTCTGTCCTCAGCTGCTTAGAGCCTCATTACTGTGCTGTTAATAGCACCACTGTCTGAGCATGATCAGTGATCACAGCACAGGCCACATAATCTTTACATTATTCCCAATTTAGACCACGATTAAAAGCCTCATCCAATTAGCACAATCCCTTCCTGTAGCTTCTCACTATGCCTAAATCCCCAGACACTTTTTTTGGATGTGGTGAGAGGAGCGAGAGAGAGGGCTATTAAGGTTTTAACACTTACAGAACTGTGCTGAAAGCCCCAATGTAGCCTATGTCAGTCTGCTGTGTGTAGGCTACCCATCACTTTATGATCTCACAGTCCTTATTCCATATTCCTTCGCTAATCCATTAGTGAGTGTGTTTACAGATTGAGTTATATGTTAACAGTGGAAGAAGACGTTTTGACATCTGTATACATGATGTGTTCAGGGAGCCCACCATAAAAAGGTGATGATAACTGGATGGTGGTTTACTCTGTGCCCAGAACACACTGGCATTCTTCAGGTCATTCTGGGTTCCTGCAGTTCTCTTTCCTCTCTCCCTGTGTATTACACTTCAGTGCTCTCCCCTCCCCTGGCTCTAGCAGCACTGCTTTATTACAATGGTGCTGATGAGGTGGAAAATGTGATTGCATTCTATCCTAAACAAGATTAATCTAGTAGGGGAATTGACAGCTGGCCTTTGCGAAGCAATTGGTGGGTGTGGAGGGATTGAATATAGTACACTACGGTAAAGTGTGAATATCGTATATTTTGATCTACATCTCTCTGGCCATCCACACTGGTCAGGTAAGTTATGGGCCTGCAACAGTAAAAGCATTCGCTGTATCTGGATTGAATCAGAATACATGGAGCTGTGGAGTTTTGAATCCCAGTGGATTGTCAATTGCATATTCTTACATTTACATTTACATTTTAGTAATTTAGCAGACACTCTTATCCAGAGCGACTTTACAGTTAGTGAGTGCATACATTTTCATATTTTAATTTTTCATGAACAAAGGAGAGCATGATATGGTTTACATGATCAATCATCCAATCATATTTCAACGTAAGGCATCAGTATGAAATGTTGTACAGACATGCTCTATGATGCTAAAAGTGTCTGCTATACTTGGTGATACCAAGGAAACCAAGTCTGCAAGAGGATATGAAAAGCCTAAAATGCTCAGCCCCAGAATCTGATATTACAGTAAAGGTTTTTTCCTGTCATTTCTTGTTCCCATGGCTCATTGTTGCCCCCTTCTGATTATTGTTTGTTACAGACATGGGGAGAAGTGTTGATTCTGCAGACCTGTTAGACTAGAGTTTCTGACTGATATGTTCTGTTGTTCTATGTGCCAGCGGAGACAGAGCATGCTCAGAGAGTCCCAGACATGGACTCAGCCCAGCAGCTGAAACTGAGAGAGAGACAGCGCTTCTTTGAGGAGGTCTTTCAGCACGATGTGGATGTCTACCTGTCCTCGGCCCACCTGCAGATTCATGACTATAAGAGACGTGAGTGCAGTCGGCATCACACACATGTATGCACACATGTACCCTAACCCTAATCTTAGCTTCATGTCCATACCCCAGCTCAACCCTTACCCAAGCCATTGCCCTAACCCTAGATTCAACTCCACAACCCTCTCTCTCTCACTCACTCACTCACACACCGGTGTGAACGTTTCTGGGTTGTTCTTTTGCATCCCTTTGATATTTTAAGTAGAAATTGTGCACAAATATTGAATTTTAAAAAGCCTGTAATATCAAATAAAGTGCCCGTTAATATAGACCACATGGAAAATTCAATAAATCTGATTTTTTATATGAATAAAGACTTGCTTAAGTGCCAAAATTCTGCATTTTGACATGCGTCCTCTGACTTCTAGGAAGATTCTAACCCACTTAACCCCAACATTTCTCCAGGTTTTCACCATCATAGTAAAGCCCTTGTTATTTTGTTGCTTTGACAAAGTGATTTCTGAAGATTATTATTTATTTCATGATATTAGTGATTCGTTTTAAGGTAAAAAAACTTTTCATAGTCAAATCATAGTGTAAAAGCAGGTGAGCTTGTTCTACTCCTTTTGGCCATTTTATGGTGTTTTGTGGTGGAAAACTGAGAGGGTTGAGCATAACACGTCAGCCCTGTTACCCATAGATAGAAGGCTAGAAATGTTTTAACAATATACTTTTTTTCTGTTTCAAACAATAAGCTTCCATTTCACCTGTCACAAGGGTATTTGGGGCTGATTTAAGATGAAGTCGTCTACTCTGTTACGGTCAACCCTGTAACTTTATTTGGCACTTATCAAATCAAATCAATGTTATTTGGCACATGAGCTGAATACAACAGGTACAACAGTGAAATGCTTACTTACAAGCCCTTAACCAACAATGCAGTTTTAAGAAAAATAAGTGTTAAGTAAAACATAGATAAGTACCAAAAAAAAGACTACACATAAAAATAGAAAAATAACAAATAATTAAAGAGCAGCAGTAAAATAACAGTAGCGAGGCTATATACTCAGGGTACCGGTACAGAGTCAATGTGTGGGGGCACAGGTTAGGAGAGTAGCAGCAGCGTAAAAAGGGGGGGGGGGCAATGCAAACAGTCCAGGTAGCCATTTGATTATCTGTTCAGGAGTCTTATGGCTTGGGGGTAGAAGCTGTTAAGAAGCGTTTTGGATCTAGACTTGGCGCTCCGGTACCGCTTGCTGTGCGGTAGCAGAGAGAACAGTCTATGACTAGGGTGGCTGGAGTATTTGGCAATTTTTTGGGTCTTCCTCTGACACCGCCTGCTATAGAGGTCCTAGATGGCAGGAAGCTTGGCCCCAGTGATGTACTGGGCCGTACGCACTACCCTCTGTAGTGCTTTGCGGTCGGAGGCCGAGCAGTTGCCATACCAGGCGGTGATGCAACCAGTCAGGATGCTCTCGATGGTGCAGCTGTAGAACATTTTGAGGATCTGAGGACCCATGCCAAATCCTTTCAGTCTCCTGAGGGCACTTACTATAGTATATAAAAAAATGTAACCTCTTGAGATGGGGAAAATGTTTTTCATTAAGTGAATATGTGCTGTTTATGACAGAATGTTAAAATTAGGTGAAATAAAACATTTCCTTACCACCAAGTTACACTACTCGAAAGGCACCGAATTGGTGGAACGACCCTTCTAAATGTTGCTAAACATTTCCTTTGAGAAGTGAAGCTGACATACAGTAAATGCCTCTAATTAACAATAATGTTTGTCTCTTGTGTTGTTGTTAGCTCCCATTGGCAGCGTCTCGTCCATGGAGGTGAACGTGGACATGCTGGAGCAGATGGACCTTATGGACATCTCTGACCAGGAGGCCCTGGATGTCTTCCTCAGCTCTGGGGGGGATGAGGGGGTGCTGGCCTCCCCTCTGCCAGGTAAAGGTGAGTGGAGGGGAAACTCCCATCCTGAGGCCGTCCCGTGTTGATAGAGTAGTATTTAGCAGAGAGTCAAGGCTTTGTCCCTCCCCTATACTAGCTGGCAACATTAACTGCAATACTGAGTGCAGCAATGAGAATCTGTGGCCTAACATCCCTTTCATTTCACCCACAGTAGTTCATGGCAACAACAACAACAATGAGGTCATCAGCCAGGGACGCTCTCCCCACAACACTGACGGTTGTGTGGGGAAGTCCCGCATGTCCTCCACCTCCTCCACTTCCTCCACCAACAGCCAGAACACCAATGAGGACGGAAGGGAAACCCCTGTAGTCCAATCAGATGATGAGGATGTGAATGTTGACACACTCTTGCTGATGGGATCACCCCCAGGGAAAGATGAGGAGAAGGATCGGCCCATCTTCTCTTCATAGAGGCCTTCTTTCACTTCCAATATTCACTAACATTTTGGACGTACTGGTGCTGACAAGTATCACTGAAACGGGACACTCACACACAGAGGTGTTCCATGGACTGGCAACTATCACTTACAACACCATTTTCTTTACTCTTCATTTAGTTTTGTCTGAACTGTACATACAAGGCCAAATCTTCTCAAAGCTTGCTTATGTCCATATATACTTCTGGCAAAAAGATCACAAGATACTTCTTTTTATTTCCTCATTAGAGATTCTAGTAGGGTTTGGCGATGTGTGGTACGGACATCTGGGGAAGGACATTTCTGTGTGTCCTCTACAGCCAGGATATGTACATAATAGAGTTGTGAAATATGCAACCATGTAAGCATCCTTTACTGTACCACAGACAGGGCCAGATGTTCAATTACACACACCAAAACATTATTTAGAGAGTAACTGCATTGCTGAGTAAATCTGGCCCTTAGTTCCTATATTCCCTAAAACGTTGAACCAATCCCAAAACACCTACCACAATTCTGCAATTATGTTTCCCGAGTGGCGCAGTGGTCTAAGGCACTGCATCGTAGTGCTAGCTGTGCCACTAGAGATCCTGGTTCGAATCCAGGCTCTGTTGTAGCCGGCCGTGACCGGGAGACCCATGGGGCGGCGCACAAGTTGTCCAGGGTAGGGGAGGGAATGGCCGGCAGGGATGTAGAGCATGGCGTTTGCAACGCCAGGGTTGTGGGTTTGATTCCCACGGGGGGCCAGTATGATAAAAATAAATAATGAATGCACTAACTGTAAGTAGCTCTGGATAAGAGCATATGCTAAATAAAAAATATTAAATAAAAATAACTAAGGACGTACTGTGCATAGTGTTGCTTTCATTTTGATATATACTTCTCATAGCCTCCTCTTATTCTCTGAATTGAAGGTTTATTTGTTTTAACAATAAAGAATAATTTAAAAAAAAACGTTGTTTCCCTACAAACATTTTTTGTGTGAAACAGTGTTTTGTGAAGGTATGTTTAGTGTTTGTTCCAGTGGCTCCCCTGTGAAGCTAGACATGAGACGGGCAAAGTCATTTACAAGCCCTGCTCCTGGGCTTGCCTGTAGGTTAGCTGTTCACTGTTCACAGGTCATTCTACCACCAGGACCGGTTAGACGTGATACTTCCACCTCCTTTTACACACAAAACCTAAATGTAAAACATTTACCAATAAACACATTAAACGTGAGACAACTAGACATGCTAGTGTAATTGTTCACCACACAGGCACTACCTTAGGCAGATTTTAAATGAGCTAACAGGTGTCTAAAAAATGTAGGCTACGCATAAGGAATGCAGTTCAACTGCTTTCACCACTCTATTGAACATACATGAGCATACATCCATCCCCAAAGGTTATGACAATCTATCGTAGTGGCTGTCAGATGAAATCTCCAAAATATACACTTTCCAGGAAATGGAAAAACTGCAATATTTTGACGTTAACGAACGACAATCATACACTGAGTGTACAAAATATTAGGAACACCTTCCTAATATTGAGTTGCACCCCTTTTGCCCTCAGAACAGCCTCAATTCGTTGGGGCATGGATTCTACAAGGTGTCGAAAAGTGTTCCACAGGGATGCTGGCCCATGTTGACGCCAATGCTTGTTGTGTCAAGTTGGCTGGATGTCCTTTGGATGGTGGACCATTCTTGACACAAATGGCAAACTGTTGAGCGTAAAAAACCCAGCAGCATTGCAGTTCTTGACACATTAAAACTGGTGCGCCTGGTACCATACCCCGTTCAAAGGCACTTTTGTCTTGCCCATTCACCTTCTGAATGGCACACGCACAATCCATTTCTCAATTGTCTCAAGGCTTAAAAATCCTTCTTTAACCTGTCTCCTCCCCTTCATCTACACCAGGGATGGGCAACTTTGATGGGGTGGGGGCCACAAAAAAACGGAACTCATCATGAGGGGCCGCAGTGGCTCGTGGGTCTGCGTACCAACATTCATACCCCCGATTTTGCCATGGGGTGTAGAGAAAATCCCTACCCCGGTCAGTAATTCGACCATGCTTACTACAAGTTTAGATCGCTGGCCGCTAGACTAATTTACCAATCTAAAAATGTTTAGCTGACATGGACTAATTGAGTGACTGCTTATGCACAACCAATTTTTTTATTGCACCTTGTGTATTCTATTATTCTAACTCTCAAAAGTAATTTGAGGGGCTGCCAGTTGCCCAACCCTGATCTACACTGATTTAAGTGGATTTAACAGGTGACATCAATAAGGGATCATAGCTTTGACCTGGATTCACCTGGTCAGTCTATGTCATGGAAAGAGCAGATGTTCCTAATGTTTGTATACTCAGTGAGGGGAGTTACTGTTTCAATACATGTAAAAATTTTACCTGGGTCATGTTTAGCATGGCACACTGTGGTAAAGCAATTGTAAAAACATCTACTACAGTGTGCCCCACTGAACATGACCCCGATGATCTTTGCCATCTGGCTGTTTACCCAAAAGGTATATGAAGACACCAGTTTTAAATGACAGTAGCACAGTAGTAGACTAATTACACAAATAACAAAATTGAATAATTCAGAAGTGTCAGTGTAAGTTTAACCTTTGGATTTGACTCCATAATTTCCACTTTCAATCATTGGCAGGTTCTTCAAAAATACTGTATGACCTTATCTTCAAGTTGCCTAATTATTTCTTAAAGTTCTCTCAATATATTCTCCTCACCTCCTCATAAAGGCCCCCTCTTTCTCTCTCTCACACACTCATACATGAACGCACACAGATTGTATAAGCCCTCCCCCTCAATGTGTGTATTACATGAAAGGCAGCATTTCCTCTGTCGGTGCTCAGGACCTGCCAGATACCATCACACTCTCCCCTAGGCTGGTCATCCAACTGATGTGTCTGGCTTTACCATGACAGTAGTCATATTCATCTCTACTGGGCTCTTAAGTGATGGTACTGATTTTTGGATCAGTCATGTTATACTTTAGAAACATTTCAATAATCTGAAATGGTATCTTGTAATTTCTTAGGTGACCTGAATATGCCGTTAGCAAAGTGTACACTCTGCACATTCTGGATTTATTTTATCAGAGTTTGAAACTGACTATTGATGGAAGCTTGAACTTTAATGTATTCTACGTACTATTCTAATTTAGAAAGGGTATCTATGCTGTTCTGCAATGTTGAACCTACAGATTATTATAAAATGTGAATGGTTGCTATGAAAAAAGAAAAAATATGAAAATGTATGCACTCTACTGTCAGTCTGAATAAGACTGAAATGTAAAATTATGAATCACATACAGTAAACATATAACATTGTTAATTTATGATGTTCAGGACAGGCTTACTATTACTGACTCCTTTCAGGAAGGTCCCATTACCACAGGATCTTCATGATACACTTTAGGGTCAGTTAAAAGCTTGTAAAGGAGAGGTGTATCCAATTGCTGATGTCTATCTTAAACCATCCTGCAGGTCACAGTAACTCCATATTCCCACAAATAGTGATGGCTACTACTGAAGGCTTAAAGGCATAGTTCACCCAAATTACAAAATGACATATTGGTTTCCTTACCCTGTAAGCAGTCTATGAACAAGGTATGACAGCAATCCATGCTTTGGTTTACTTTCCCTGGCATTGTTTCCACATAATAATAATAATAATAATAATAATAATAATAATAATAATAATAATAATAATGAATTAAACTTCTATAGCGCTTTTCATAGAATCACAAAGCACTTCAAGCGCAAAAAAACAAAGAAGCAATATATAAGGACAGGTCAACCAATAGAGGCCAAGTCTTTGAATGCTGCATCCTCCAAAGATTGAGAGGGTCAGTTCATGGTTTGAGCGAAGGGAGCTGGTCAGAGGATGGTAGATGATGATGATGGAGTCTGCTGATGATCTTGTAGAGGGCAAGTCTGGGAACCAGCCTTATAGCCACTGGACTTCTCCTCTTCCACTCTGTGTAGCACCCGCCTAAAATGCTAACCTTTTAGCATTTATGGCACAAATCCCATTCAAGTCGTGGGACCGATATTAGCATTTTTCGCGCATCATGTTCAAATCATCTATAAGTGACTTTGTTGAGCTTCACAATCAATTTTTAGATACTTTTGGATGATTTGGACATGATGCGTGACAAATGCTTATATCAGTCCCATGACTTGAATGGGATTTGTGCCACAAATGCTAAAATGTTATCATGTGGAAACAGTGCCAGGGAAACTAAACCAATGCATGGATTGCTGTCATAACTTGTCCATAGACTGCTTACAGGGGAAACCAATGTGTCATTTTGTAATTTGGGTGAACTATCCCTTTAACTGGGCATAATATGAAACCCTGTGCTCATTGTGTTCTCTCTGTGAGGAGTTGGGGTCTGTTTGGTCAAAACACAATTTGGTCTAGTTCAACCTTATGAGTCTACTGTATAATCAGCTCTCAAACCATATAAAAAACTAAAAGCATTTTATTTGGGACAAATCATTCACTAAACCTCACAGACTGCAGAAAAATACACTGATGGTGGAAGCAAAGGACCACGGTGAAGTTGTCAGTCTGTCTAGTTCAACTACTGTGGTCGTCCATGTTGAGGATGGCAACAATAACCTACCAACCATAACTGGTCACACAGTAGATATTTGACTAAGTCTACACATTGTAATGTCTCATAGTTCCTTATGTAATAATGCTTATGTGCTTTCTGTTTACATATGTGAACTTGTGCTGTAAGTTTACACAACAATGAGCTGTTCTGGAATGTTTAAAGATTGTAAAGAACGCTCCTGTCCTGTCAATAAGATTAAATTAGATTTACCAGGGTCTAAATGGATAAAGGTCAGGCATAAAGGTCAGCCGTTGTGCTCAGGGAGTTGGTCAACCATGGTTTGCCAGTGCTGTGACAAGATATTGTGTAAAATAATGAATTTGAAGAATTTATCGGCACTGTATGTTTGTTAACTAGCTAGCCAACC